CTTTCGTGGAAAGTTTTATGAATAACTCTGAATGAGTTTAAGAACTCTGAACGAGTTTGAACTCTGTGAATAGAGTTGTTGGAACCGAAAATTCGGTTAATAATCAAGCTGTTTTTCTATCCTCTCAGATTTGATCTTCTGAGTTTAATTCAAAATTCCTATCTCCAAGGATTTCGTTGCTGCTGAATCTCCCAGCCAGAGTGGTTTTCAACGAGCCAGCCAATAGCCTCTGATCTGAGCCCAGAGAAAATCCAATCAACCCCTGTGGTTCAGATGCCAAAAATCCAACCCACAACTCAGTTGAGTTCGTTGAGTTTTTATAGGGGGATAAAGGGTTGTAACTGACCCCTATATCCGCTCCTACGTGGGCGAAAATCCCTCAGAACGTGAGATAAACGGTTTTGGAACCGTTCGACTTATGTTTGAGTGAGTCAAACGCCCAATCTGGCGTTCAGAACCTCAACTTCGTGTTCTTTGAATTGAGACGCGAAGTTGGGTGTTAGCTGAACACCATTGAACGCGAGGGTCGCTCACGTTTGGCTTGTGCATTGTCGACGCGAGGGTCGCTGTTGGTTGACGACGCGAGGGTCGCTATGGCTTGACGACGCGAGGGTCGCCGTGGCTTGACGACGCGAGGGTCGCCGTGGCTTGACGACGCGAGGGTCGCCTTCATTTCCAAAGTTATGACGCGGGGATGACACCCGCGTTTCAGAAGGAGTTAGCTGATTTGTAACTTCTTCTGTAGAGCGTTGCAAGGACCGTTGTTCAATAATCCTAGCTGCTCACGTTTGGCTTGTGCATTGATGACGCGAGGGTCGCTGTTGGTTGAACACCATTGAACGCGAGGGTCGCTCACGTTTGGCTTGTGCATTGACGACGCGAGGGTCGTCTTCATTTCCATATTGGTGACGCGGGGATGACATCCGCGTTTCAGAAGGAGCCATTTGACTTGTAACTTCTTCTGTAGAGCGTTGCAAGGACCGTCGTTCAGTAATCCTAGCTTTAGCTGTTGTGGAGTGTGAAAGTCGTCAGATTGTAACTTTCACTGTAGATTGTGAAGACTGCTGAACAGAGTTTTCATCAATCGTCAGAAGTTTCGTTAAATTGTAACTCTTCCCCATTTGACTTGTAACTTCTTCTGTAGAGCGTTGCAAGGACCGTTGTTCAGTAATCCTGGCTTTTAGCTGTTGTGGAGTGTGAAAGTCGTCAGATTGTAACTTTCACTGTAGATTGTGAAGACTGCTGAATAGAGTTTTCATCCGTCGTCGGAAGTGTCGTTGAATTGTAACTCTTCTCGATCTATGTGAAAAGCCCTCTATTCGCAACTTTCGATTATCGACCCGAAAGCTATTTGATTGTAGCTTTCGTTGTAGGAGCTAGACGGGAATCAACATCCATAGTGTCTTAAAGACGGATATTTGCCCTCAGCTCTCTACCAAGCAACTCACCAACTAAGTCCAACCTTTTATTTCTGAAATCATCCCATTGCTCATCAACATCTCATGCTGTTGTCACAGCCATCAAGATCAATCATTTCAGAAGTGAGGTCGCGTTTGTGGCGATTGTGGAGTTGCGGATGTAGTGATTGGAAAGTCGTCTGCTTGTGACCTCCGTTGTCGGAGCTTGTTTGAATAAGCTATCTATTGTGATTTTTAGACAGCCTACATCCCTGTGTCAAATTTCTTCACTTTAATGGAGGAATGATAGATTGCCTTTATTGGAGGAATGATAGAGCTAGCAGGACTCGAATAT